TCCTCCAAGGTCTGCCAGTGTCACTCTGCATGTGCTGCTGGTGGATGGCTTCTCTCAGCCCTACCTGCCTCTGCCAGAGGTGGCGCCCGACCCCACGCAGGACAAGGACGATTTGCTCACTCTTTATCTGGTCATTGCCTTGGCTTCTGTGTCTTCTCTCTTCCTGTTGTCTGTGCTGCTGTTTGTGGGGGTGAGGCTGTGCAGGAGAGCCAGGACGGCCTCTCTGGGTGGCTGCTCTGTTCCCGAGGGACACTTTCCTGGTCACCTGGTGGATGTCAGCGGCACTGGGACCCTGTCCCAGAGCTACCAGTATGAGGTGTGTCTGAGGGGAGACTCTGGGACAGGTGAGTTCAAATTTCTCAAACCCATGGTCCCCAACTTGTTTCACGATGCTGGGAGAGAAGTTAAGGAAAGTCCCCACTGCAGGGACAGCTTTGTATTCGGTTAACTTTTGTGTTTTGCTCACTGAATTTATTTTTGGTAAACCTATAGCAATATGGTTCTCTTAAGAAAGTGAATCATTTTCTCTAGGTATTGACATTGTAATCGAAGCATATGCATGTCCTCCATTAACCATTTTTTTTTTTTACTTTCTTGGCATTTACTGTACTTAGAAGTTTCAGGTGTGATGAATATTAAGAACACAATTTCAACTTATATTTTCCTTTAGCTCAAGTATTGCACAACAATTACAAGCATTTTAGTTAACTTGTTTTGGGTTTTTGTTGGTTGGTTGGATGGTTGGTTGGGTTGGTTGGGTGGGTTGTTTGTTTGTTTGTTTGTTTTTTGTTCTTGACATAGTGTGTCTGTGTGTAGCTCTAGCTGTCCTAGAACTCACTATATAGACCAGGGTGGATTCAAAGCAACAGACATCCATCTTCTCTCTCCAGCTCCCAAAAGCCAGCTCCTTTATTATTTTTACCAGATAATTTCAAGTTTTTATGGCCAAAGTGTTTACATAATTTTAACTTTATTTTGTTGTTATTGGATATTAAATATAGGACCTCATACCTGCTAACCATAGATTCTGATAGTGAGCTTCACTCACACTTGAAGTTGCTCATAGTTACCCTGAGTAGCCATGAGCATAAAAATTCACATACTTGTCTTCACATTATAAACACACTTACTAAAAGAATAAGACACTGTAATTGTGATCCTTTTTCATCTTATGTGAACCACACATGCTAGAGGTTGTCTGCGTTATTTGTCCACCACATACCTAGCACACTGTTCCTTAAATATTAATTTTAACAATCTCATTTATAAATATTAAAGGGGTAACCTTATGTATTGTTAATTTGTCATCTCTTTCACTAAACAAAACTGTTTCAGAGTAAGAGTATAATTAGTGATAGACCAAGCACGCATGCCAAGGCCTGGGTACACTTCCAAGCAGGAAAAAGAAACAAACAGAAAAAAAATAAACACTTGTTAAATCTTTGCTTGACTCAATACTGTTTGAAAACTAATCTGGGTAACAGAAGAAACCACTGACATCCTCAAGGAATCAAGACTTTTGATGGTCTCATTTTGTCTTATTATTCCAGAAATAAAAGTGTTCATGGAGCTTTTGTGGTTTTGTGTTAATCTCAGTTGTGAACATGAGATTTAGAACCATCTGACCATGGAGGATTATCATGCTTAGGATAATTGAGGTGGGAAGTCCATTGTGGGTGGCATCATTCCCTGGGCTGGGATACCGGACTGTATGTTGAGGAGAACGTGGGCTGAGCACAAGTGTTCATTGCTCTCTACTTCCTGCCTGGAGATACAGTGTGACCAGCTGTTCAAACTCCTGTCTTTCACCTTCCCTATCATAGGGTAGTCTTGAACTGTGAGCCAAAACCCTTCCTATTTTATCCTAGAAATAGAAAAATAACTAAGACAGCCTGCATGGTCACATGGTATCAGATACCATACCCAGAGACTTGAGGATTCTAAGCATGCTGTTCAATGTGGCCCTGTTTAAGTTTATATTGATACCTATGTTTCCTTGGTTTTCCTGCAGCTTCTCCTCACCTATCAAAAGACTCTGAAAATTTCTGGAAATTTCAATATTCTATTTGAGTCTCATTATCAGTTCATCATTTTCACATTATATTGTTTTGTAGATATGGAAAGCTAAACAATTCTGTTGTGATATTTAAAATTATCACCTGAATTGTTATTTGGTGTAACCTGGAAGTAGTCTCAGTTGATTTAGTTGTTCAATTATGATGACTATTGCATAATACAAAAATTATTGGTTTTTAATTGAACTCTAATGATTTTAACTGAATTAAATTAACTTATATTCAATGAGTTAAGTAAGCTTATTGTGTGATTGCTAACTATGTAAATTTATATGGCTACAACTGCAAGAAAACTTTATTGAACTTTTGGCAGAGAATGAACAATTGAAGAACTTGATTTATACTCTATTATCTTTATGTTTTCCTCTTTAGCTAGTACATATTCATTGTACAAAGCAATGGATTTCCTTATGAATTTTTATGCATGTACATAATGCATACACATTGATCATGTTTACCCTTTGTTTCTTTTTAAAATCTCAAGTGTCATGTGGAGTTCAAATATTTGCATCTTTCCCTGAATTAATGTTTCTTCCCCTAAGGATGAAGTGATACATAAAAAGAAAATTGATGACCATTCCTTATCCTTGGAATGTAATTTTTGGTTATTCAGTTTTAAAATTGAAGTGAGAAAGAGGTTAGTGTAAAACAAAGTAAATACAAACAAACATATATGACTTAAATATGGCAGATAACTCTAACGGCTTGCCAATAATGTGCCAAGATGCCTCTTCTGGTGTGGTGTCTACTCAGAATACGAGCCTGAACTGTTAGAAGCCAAGATCTGCTATTGTAACTCAACAGTAGGGCATTTGCCTAATAGGTGCAAATCCTTAAATTCAATCTCCCTAGCATTAGGGAGAAAAATATTCACCTCTTCCTTCATGATCAAAAGCCACAAAAAGTCATGTGTTTTAAAATACAAAGTTATAGATTATGCATGTGTTTGGTAGAATTTCCCTCCAAATTAGATGGATTATCTGACACCAGAAAACAACTGTAAAAACTGACTAAATGTAAGAAATTATCTCTTCAGTACAACAGGAGGTTACTTATATGAGAAATGAATCCTACTCAGTTTGCTTAAAGAACGGTCAACAGGTTCTTGATATAGACACCTTTATTGAGTAGCCTCTGATAAAAAGGAAAACCTGAGCTCAGGACCAGTTTTCCTGCCAAGATCACTTGTCAACTCAGCAGCCCAGGAAAGAAGACTAAAAATGTAATTTGAAAACTCTCTGAAGGCAGAATGAGATTTTGCACAAAGTACAAAGATTACAGATTGGGACTGGCCTGGCAGAGTCAATGTAGAGAATTCATGTTTGTAACCTGGAATTTGCCAAAACTTTATGCTTGTAAGGATTCAGAGAACCTTGACCAAATTTAGTGCCTGTTTGGGTTGGAATGATTGCACAAGATGGTACTCTCTCAGGCTAAAAGCAAATGATAAGCCTTTCCTGGAAGAGGATAGTAGTATCATGATTATGGACAGATTTAACACAAGTACCAGCCGTCAGTAGGTACATGTCACAAACTGGATAATATAAAGAAAACCAGAGGAGAAAAAAATGATATAGAAGATGCATGTGTTAGAATAAATAACTATGTCATTAAAATAAAGTGGTTAATATTTTTGAAACAAGCAACAATTGAGCAAATAAACAGAACGACAATTGATATTTAAGACTCAAAGTCAATTCCATAACATAAATACATATGTCATAAAACTATAAAATGGTAAAGCTTCAAGGAAATGAATACAGAATTAGCTAATGTAATGCATGTCAATATGAAATACCTAAAATAAATACAGAAAAATTGAAGTCTTGAAGAGATGGCTCAGCGGTTAAGAGCAAGTGGATTAAATTTAGGTTTCAGCACCCACCCCTTGTCAGGGGAATCACAACTGCCTTTACTCCAGCTCTCAGGGATCCGACACCCTCTTCAAGGACATTCGCACTCTCATGACATTTATTCATATGCACAAAGCACAAATAAATAAAAACAAATCTTTTTTAAACAGTAGAAAATAGAGGTTGAGAGATGTCTCAGTGGTTAAGACCACTTGCTGTTTTCCCAGAGATTTGGGGTCCCAACAAAACCACCTGTAAGTCTAGTCCCAGAGAATTCTACAACCCTCTGTCTCTGTGGGGAC